TTTTCTCCCCATTTCTTGCCATTTTGCATCGTTTCCCTCCATTATTTCTCCCCATTATTTCCTTCATACCATTTCTTCTCATTCATTTCTCCCCATTTTCTCCCCAATTTTTTCTCCCCCATTTTGCACCGTTTCCCACCATTATTTCACACCATTATTTACTTCATACCATTTCTCCCCATTCATTTTCTCCCCATTCATTTTCTCCCCATTTTTTCTCCCCATTTTTTCTCCCCATTTCTCCTCATTTCTCCCCAATTTTTTCTCCCCATTTTGCACTGTTTCCCACCTTTCACACCTTTACTTCATACCATTATTTCACACCATTTCTCCTCATTAATTTCTCCCCATTAATTTCTCCCTATTAAGTTCTCCTCATTCATTTCTCCCCATTTTCTCCCCAATTTTTTCTCCCCAGTTTTTTTCTCCCCATTTATTGCCATTTCTTGCCATTTTGCACCATTTCCCACCATTATTTCACACCATTACTTACTTCATACCATTCATTTCTCCCCATTCATTTCTCCCCTTCTTTTTCTCCCCTTTTTTTCTCCCCTTTTTTTCTCCCCTTTCTTTCTCCCCATTTTTTTCTCCCCATTCATTTTCTCCCCAGTGTTTTCTCTCCATTTTTTCTCCCCAATTTTTCCTCCCCATTTTTCACTGTTTCCCACCATCATTTCACACCTTTACTTCATACCATTATTTCACACCATTTCTCCTCATTAATTTCTCCCCATTAATTTCTCACTATTAAGTTCTCCTCATTCATTTCTCCCCACTCATTTCTCCCCATTCATTTCTCCCCATTTTCTCCCCAATTTTTTCTCCCCATTTTTTTTCTCCCCATTTATTGCCATTTCTTGCCCAGTTTGCACCGTTTCCCACCATCATTTCACACCATTACTTACTTCATACCATTCGTTTTCTCCCCATTCATTTCTCCCCATTCATTTCTCCCCATTTTTTCTCCCCATTTATTTCTCCCATTTTTTTTCTCCCCATTTTTTCTCCCCCATTCATTTATCCCCATTTTTTTCTCCCCATTCATTTTCTCCCCAATGTTTTCTCCCCATTCATTTCTCCCCATTTCTCCTCATTTCTCCCCAATTTTTTCTCCCCATTTTGCACTGTT